CCGTTACGATCATGTTTAAGAGTGGTGTGCAGCATAAGCAATATTGCTTCGACTAAGTTTAGCCCAGAATTCACTACTGAACATGCGCTCACCGTGATTTGTGTTGAAAAGTAATTAAGTATCGAATTATAAAGACCTATTGAAATCACAAGATTATTTAGGCATAAAATAAAGTAAGATAGGTACGTAGGTAATAACTAATGTGTTCGCTATTGGTTATCCATTGTATAGTATTTCAAAAGACATGCTAAGTGGAAGCAAGCGACGTTGAATTGCCTTGTTGAAGGCCTTGAACTCTGAGACAATCGATTACTCGCTTTTCTTATTCATAGCGTATTCTATTAGAAGACAATTTATTTCGACCACAGTCCTTTTAACACAGACCTTTTTATGTTATTGACTAACATCTATTGACCTGTTTGAACAATATTATCAATCATACAACTGACCCGTTTCAACAGAATTCGAAGTTCTTTTGAAGTACAACTTCTTTGAGTGCGATTTGATTTAAGATCTTTTTTACGGACGGAAGTAACATGCAATCAAACCTGTAGCAGGGTGGTCTATTGTCTGTGTACGCAATTTTTGTATATATAAATTCAGCGATGGACTATAGTGTTTTGTGAGTAATATGTAACATATATTACTTATATGTATTGATACACAATTTTCCGACATGATTATACATACATTTATTTATATTTTATTTTTATTATTGAAAAGTAGAAAAATATTAATAAGTCAATAAATAATAAATATTAACAATTAAAATGAATACAATAAGTAACAAAAACCCTCAAAGTACTTAAACGTATATTTACGTAACCTTACTTCAGAAAACTTGACCATAATTTTTTTTATAAATTTTTATTTGCAAATTGTATGTGGTTTGAATACTGATTCTGAAAACTCACATAACGAAAACCACGGGGTTTTTGTTACATGTTGCATATAGTTGAAATAGGTTAACATAATTTATTTCTTCTATACTTTTTTATTTTTATTAATCAAAATAATCATCACCAATGGAATTAATGCATCTTTGCCAAAGCAGTGGGAGTTTATTGATGCCCTTTTTGAAGTAATCAGTTGGATGGGGGGCAACAAATTCTTCAAAGGCATTTTGTACTACCTCTCGGTTATTGAATATTTTTCCCGCCAAAAAGTGATACCTACAAATTCTGGAAATATAGAAGTCCGTAAGTGCAAGGTCTGTACGGCTACTTGTTACTTGGAGACCGTCTATTGTGCAATATGAGATCGCGCATTGTCTTGCAGGAGTAGCGGAGACGAGTGATTGAGTGATTAAACAAGGCTACAGAATACTATTGATACATCGCTATCTTAAAGTAACGTTAGTTACTTGTTGCCTTGATACTTACTTTTCTATTGGTTTATCTTATCACCAACAACAAGCATAATATTATCGTAACCATTTTCAGCAGATGCAATAAATCTTTGTTAAAATTAATATGCAAGAAAGACCGCGAGACCGTTACCGACCAACATCGTGGCGTGCCATGACCGGACCAACAACGAATTTACGACGAGAATATTTGGTAAGTATCGATACGCACGCCACGCGACGTAACTAAATCGTGTATGCTCATTATTGGTCAAAATCATAACAACGATTGCTAATTTTTAAAGATAATTTTTACTATAGTAGTAAATGCAACAACACTAAACTAGTAAAACAACACTAAACTCCTCCAGATGCGCCCTTCTGAACTAAAGGAGTTACAACTGATGACACGGGCGTCGTTTTCGTACACATGTTGAACATGGATGATACGGTCACTAAACGCGTTGTGTAAATGACGCGGCACGTAAGTCTAGCGTTGAACAAAACGTAGAGGGGACGCGCACGAATGAATTGCACGAATGCGACTGGAGAGCCAATAAGCGCGACTTATGCGTTAGACTTTCGTGCCGCTACTTATATGATACGATTTAGTGGGTGTAGTAGTGACTAGTATGAGCTGTTGTAGTAGGCCGAGATAAGATTTATTAACAACAACATTTTCGATAGCATCGATTTATTAATATCATAATATAATATTTCATGCTTAGTAATTATCATTTACTCTTTTGATTTTCAATACATATTTAATATTGATATGATACATTTTTTATTATTAAATTAATTATTTCACAAGTACATTTATTAACCTTCTCAAATATTTTACTTTGTAACATTGATAGGGATTTATCATTTAGTAGTTAGAATAGTTTGTGTAAAAATATTACAATAGCTATTAGTATAACATTGAGAGATCTCGACATTTTGTTGTCATTCATATTACAGTGATAATTTTTCCATAATATTAAGTATGGGCTAAAGTCCAGTCACTAATTGTTTATTTTTAACTTATTTAAATTTGATACTAAACATCAATTTCTATAAAACTTTTATAGATATAAAGTTGACTTACGGCCGATTATTCAATCATTGGAATAAATGAATCATAGGATAATATAAAATATAACTACTTCTACTGCCTAGCAACAATCCACTGCTCAACATAGGCCTCCCATAGAGGAAGCCTATGTTTAGATTTGTTATGTGTGTCCAGATTGCCACAAAGTACGGTTCTGAGCCATCTGCATCCATTAGCTGCCTGCGAGTTTCATCAGGTCGTCTCTCCATCGATCTAGTAAAGGGTCGTCCCACACAATGCCTGCCAGTACGAGTGCAATATAAATAAATTAAAAATTATTTATTGCATAAATAAAATTGTTTACTTTTATATTCAGTCAAATTTTAATTAATTTAATATATAGCTTTGATTCGAAGATTGAAAAATCAGCCCTATCAAAAATTAAAACCTCATCATGCAATACTTTAAAAAAATACAAAAAATAATTCAAATCGTATTCTCTATATTTTTGTAAAATAAAATTATTAATATTAATTTCAATATTTAAATTAAAATTGAAAATTTTATTTTATATTATTGCGATATGTTCAACGCTAATGAAGCTTTTTTTTATAATTTCTATATTTAAGGTTACTTACATGAATTAAACTTATAATCATTGTAAAATTTTAACATTATAATATAATTATAATAAAGTTTTACCTTACCGTGAAATATTTCTTTTCTAAGGGATTGTCTTAAAGTTATACATCTCGAATTAATACTATTTTATAAAAAAAAGTTAATGTTCCAATAACTGTGTATTGAACACAAATTCATTATAATCATCATTCAGTCCCTAATATTCCGGTGCCGAAAGACGAAGATATTACGATCATCACTTTTTTTTTTGTTTTGCAGATTTTCTTAGGGCGCCACCACATGCATGACAATCGTGGCTGTCACAACTTGCTATGCTTCCAAATAATGAAAGCTATTAACTGGGCAAAATATATTATACTGCTGCAAGGGTACGCGCGAAAACAAAGTGTCTCTTTTGTTCTAATTTGCCCCAGGCATCAGTCGGATGTAAGTTAAGATGCAATGGAAATCAGTGACCTTTAATTTACAACGTTGAAAAAGTAGAGCCTATTAAACTACGAAACCTTGCTTAGATATACAAAAAGTCCATAGTATAATCTACACCATTCACACATAATTTAATAATTATTTATTTTTTCCATCATTCAATTAGCATCGAAGAATAAAGAAGCGATAGTAGCCTTTATTCTTCGTTTTGGTTCCTAGGTTTTGGATGCGAACTGCAAACTAGGAAATTTGTGGATTGATATCGTGAACTACTCCACAAGTAACACAAGTGTTTTATGCTTACTTTGAATGCTTAACGGGAGTATTAGCAACGTTGAAATAAAACGTGTGACCTTCAGCGTTATATTTACTGAAAGCAGAGTGAAATATTAAAATATAATTAGAACAAGCAATCGCTTCGAAGATATGACTAAAACTGTTATATTACAGCGAACCAGATACCTTTGAGGATTGAAGGACACTAAGCTCTCTTAATGTATAAATAATGAGCAAAACTAAAAGTAAGTAAAATAAATATCATTGTAAATAATATTTATTTTACTTAAAAAGTGATAATATGAAGGACAGATGCACTATGGCTTTTCAAAATAAAATTGAAATGTACATATAATGTTGTTGAAAACATTATAAAATGAGAATACATATAACGTAATCAACAACTTTAAATATATAAGATATATATAAGAATAAAATAAAAATAAGTCAATAACAATAATAATTAATGAGACGCAAAAGAAATACTTGATATTTTTCGTTGTTATTTTTTGTTTTTATTTATCCTCAAATTTGAACTCGTCAAATAAGCACTCTACTTTTAATTGCAATTAAATGATTTATTATTTATTTACCCTTAAATTATTTAGTTTTAATACACTATAGTAAAATTATTTAAATCATCTTATTTGCAAATTTAAATTTTACAGTGAGTTCTATAACGTGTTTTAAATAAATATCATTATTTTGTCAATTTTATTCATAATTCATCGCGACTCTTTATTATTAGGAAACTTTATTATACCAAATATTAACATACAATAAGTATGATACAAATGCTTGTTACTGCTTTTATATCCTAATAACCAATGAAATCAAATTTATTCATAATATTCCTATATATAAAATGTTGTAGTATTATTGATTCCATGTTAAGTCACTTTTATAAAGAACATAAGCAAAGAGATTTTTTTGATCAACTTTAAACCCAAGAAAACATTTGTACACCAACTGAAAAGGACACTTCATTTTATAGGCTATGTTTATTACAGGTACAGAAGTAAACGTGACGTTTTTAAAAAAAAAATGATCAAGAAAACGTAATTTTTATACAATATAACAAATAAACTTAATTATTACTTATTTAAATAACTAAGAAAGTTAACATAAAAGTTGCCACAAATATAGACTAAATTAGAAGCGTAATAATTTAAAGCTCTTATCAGATTATACTAATTGAGATCTAATGTTTCTATTTACTGAGAGCGCTCCTAGACCTGGGTCTGACGCTGGACGGACGCGCTCCCAGGGTGCTGGCTACCTTTTAGATTTACAATATTGACAAAGAAGTACCTTTTTGAATGCTTGTCTAAACACCTTATTAAATATCGTATAAAAAATGGGATTAACCATTGAACTGGCGTAACCCAACCACAGAGCAAAATCGAACACCCAACTTGAAATACGTTTTTCACAGTCTGGACAGATTGCAGGTACCATGTTGAGAGTAAAAAACGGCGCCCAAAGGATTACGAAAGTAAAGAAAACAACACCTAGAACTTTTGTAGCCTTTTGCTCTAGGCGTAGAATACGACCATGTCTAGAAGAGTTCCTTGAAATAACACTTGAGTTTCTTGAGTGGTGAGTCCTAGGCGTTTGTCGCTGAGGACTTGGATTCACTGATTGTTGAGTTCGAGTAGTCGATCTATGGCCACGAACGTTTCGAACCGGAGTAGATAAAGTCGTTCTTGCACCGCCAAAACTAGAACCTCGTCTAAACCTTCTGGCCTCTTCCCATGTAACCATTGAAGAAGCACCGCGACTTGAACGTCTAAAAACTGGTGCGCACGTTTCTTCTGCTTTAACGTTTCCATTACGAGAAAATCCATTACAACCATTTATATCACCACCTGGTACTATGATAACTTCAGTTGTACGTCTTGGTGGAGTGGAGTCACTTCCAAAATAGGGACAAGTACATGGCGGTGGCAGCAGTAATCCGTCTTCTGAACTTCTTGATTTTGTAGTTAATGTTGTTGGAGCTAATAGTCCGTCGTTGCCTTCATCATCAGATGCACTTCTTGCTCTAGTTAAGGGTATACTAGTATCAACTGTTACTGAAAGTCGACGCCTATCTTGAAGCATTGACGATGGAGAACTAGAGGAAACACTTAATGATCCAGGCGTTAGCATCCCACCGCGATCCATTACGTTTGTCCTGGAAGACAAATTTTATAAGAAAATTCATAAAAACGTAAAATTGGCGTTATTGTTCTATAATATTTTGTTACCATTACATCATATTAAAATCCACTGCTGAACATAGGCCTCCCCCTTATATTGCCCCATAGTGGGGATATTTGCTATAATTACCACGTTTGGCCAGCGGGTTGGCAACAGCAGTTTTTTTTATTTTTAGTCCTTATTAGGAAGACGCTGCTGCCCATCTCCTGATTTGTTTCCCTCTGTCGCCTCTTACGACGACACCCACGAGATGAAATGGGGTTCTGGATGTTCTTACACCGCCATAATATTTCATTGCTCAGAGTTATTTAAGTAGCTTGTTTTCATTTGACATTTAAACTTTTATTTGACATTTAAACTTGCATTTGACATTTAAACTTGCATGTGGTGTACTTAGCGACATTCCTTTAACTTTGAAGCAAACCAATAAAAGCCAATCAGTATATACCCTCTGAATGAAGCTTTAGTTGCAGCCGAAGCTTCCAATCCACGAGATAGGCGCAACATCTCTGCCCCAAAGTGATGTAGTGCGCTCATTGCAGACGGAGCAGGCTCGCTGTGCAACACAATACATATATGATCACTACACAACGACACATAGAACACAACAGGCAAGGAGTGAACAAAATAAAATATGAAACAATTTATTCTCCTTTATTTTGTCATTGTAATTGTTGTTTAGGTTATTGACTTTCTTACAAATAAATACAATTAAAAAGCAAATTGAATTTGTTCTCTTTTTTTTCACTTTGCTTGTAAGCATTTCTGAACAGCGTTACAATCAACAAAATAATTAATTAGCGTTCAAAGCCTTAAAACAAGGTTCAAGTGGAAAGACAAAAGCAACATAATATCGTTTTAACTATGTGTACCTTCTTATTTTGTATTAAGTAAACAAAGGGTAAGGTGAACATTCTAAAAGCTTTGTATCTTTAAAGTTTGTCGTCTGTATTTGAAATTGTAATCCATGTTATATTAAAGGAAACTATTGTATACAATGCCACACTAAAGCTGTGCAAAATGATACAACGTTTAATATTAATACTTTTCAATAAATTCAGTTTCTAAGCTGAAGAAACTAAGAAAATCTGAGGCTTAAAATAATCATGCATGAATAACATACTATAACGACAGGCGACGAAGAAATTTTTGCGTAAAGAAGTTTATTTTTAAGAAACATTGGCCAGTTCTCGTTTATTTATTTAAAAAAGACACCAATGTACCAATTTCAAATTTCTCTTCACATGTTTACGAGATACATTTAAATATCATGTTTTTTCGATTTCAAATGTCTGTTTGATAGACTTCAAATTGCATATATGGATAAAAAAAAACTTCTAATCAAACGTGTGCCGGTGGTATAATAAAATTAAGTACTGTCGACTAAGTTTAAGTGAAGAAAGAGGAAGAAGAATAAAGAAAGAAGTGGTCGCTCTTTGATGACCATTACAGAAGGAAACATGCTAGCAGTGAAAATTTTAAATAAAAAGAATAGGCAAATTACATATGAAAAGATTAAGCACTTGCAAAAGATTGAATTAGAAAGCATTCACAAGATTTTACACGAAAACTTTCACGTGACGATGATAGTTTTGCGTTGGGTAAAAGAAACCCATCGTTGCTCTGAAGCAGAGTCACGTAGTATAGTGCCTTGACATGATTACTAAAGAGAGATCGCCTGTTATGAAATGGTGTAACAGGTGATGAATCTTCAGTTTATCAAAACGACCCAGTAACAAAGGACCAGTCAACGGTTTGATTGTTTCAAAATTGGCAGCGGATACCAAAGCAAAGCGATCTAGAAGCACAGCTTGCACATAATATATAGCTTGCTAAAATCATAACCTTTCGGTCTGAGAAAAAATCTATTAAGCCATGCAAGAAGGTCACACCAATAATGGTTATTTTTAAAGCAACAATTACAAACAACATAATTTTGATATTGTACAAGTGGAAAATTAAAAATATTGTACAACCGACTTCAAAAAATCAGATTATATTTATATAATTTATTGTTGATTTTTTTTAAACCGCTCCATCGATTTATATAAAATTTAAATGCAACCACTTGGAAAATATACCCGTCGAAACAAAAAAGAATTTTTCAAATCGGTTCATGCGTCTTCGAGTAATCGGTAAAAATACATAAAAAAAAAGATTTCGACGAATTATAAATCTCCTCCTTTTTGAAGTCGGTTTAAAAGGGTCCAAAACATAGATCCTAAGCCTAATAAGTCCTGAGTGAAGAGCTTTCAGCGATGTGTGCGAGGTAAACTCACTTGCAAAGTAATATATTTTGGGTAACCATACAACCGCTATTACATTATCTTAATATGTTTATATATGATCATATATATTAGATTCATATATTTGAGTCAAAGGTACCAGCAAAGAAATCATATAGTTTTTGATATTTTTATGAATCATATGTCTAAGATTATATACATATTCATCATTATCATCATTACAGCCCTTCACAAGTCCACTGCTGAACATAGGCCTCCCCCAAGGAATGCCATAAAGCACAGTCTTGAACCACCTGCATCCATCGACTTCCTGCAAATCTTACCAGGTCGTCATTCCATCTAGTGGAGGGACGCACTTCACTTCGTCTGCCGGTACGAGACCGCTACTCCAGAATCTTTTTTCCCCAACGGTTGTCGGTTCTTCGAGCTATATGGCCGGCCCATTGCCACTTCAGCTTACTAATCCGTTGGACTATGTCGGTCACTCTGGTTCTACTGCGGATATCCTCATTTCTAAGTTTGTCACGCAGAAAAACTCCGAGCATAGCCCTCTCCATAGCTCGCTGAGCGACCTTGAGCTTCCTCATCCGGCCAGCAGTGAAAGACCACGTCTCAGTACCATAGGTCATCACTGGCAACACGCACTGGTTGTACAGTCTGGTTTCCAAGTTTTGAGGTATACCTGAGATGTGCCGTAATTTCCCGAACGCTACCCAACCGAGATGAATCCGTCGATTGACCTCTCCGGTACAAACTTGTGTCTGAAGTCGAGTCTTTGCTGAAGTCTCGGATTGGGGGCGACTAAATCTAGTCCAGTTTAGTCCTCAGAAGACACAAGTTTGCGCGTTTACCGCTAAATAGAACGCCTTTGTTGTATCTCCTCAGTTTCAAGACACTCCCCTTCTTGCCTCATCCAGTATCGGAATCCTCGGAGTCGATATATCGAGTGACGTGCAGTTTCGTGGTCATTTGGAAGAGAAGGCCAAATTGACCTCTAAAAAGCTTGGCGTGCTCAGCAGAGCGGGACAGTATTTCATGCCGGCACACCGCCTGCAACTTTACAAGGCGCAGGTTCGGCCTCACATGGAATACTGTTCACATCTCTGGGCAGGAACTCCCCAGTGCCAGCTCCTTCCACTTGACCGCATCTAGCGCAGAGCGACTCGAATCGTCGACGACCGAGTCCTTTCCGATCGGCTCGATTCATTGGCACTGCGAAGAGATGTTGCACCCCTTTGCATTTTCTTTCGCATCTACTACGGGGAGTGCTCTGAGGAATTGTTCGGATTAATCCCAGCCGCCAAATTTCACGAAAGCACATCGCGGCAGAACTCTCGATACCATACACACCATCTGGATGATTGGCGGTCCACCACTGTGCGATTTAGAAGATGTTTTCTTCCTCGTACGACTTCCTTGTGGAATCGATTACCATCAGCGATTTTTCCGGATCAATACGACATAGGAACCTTCTAGAAAAGAGCGTACTCCTTTTTAAAAGGCGGGCAACGCATCTGCGATTCACCCCCTGATATTGCAGCTGTTCATGGGTGGCGGTAGTCACTTACCATCAGGTGAGCCGCATGCTCGTTTGCCCCCTATATAAAAAATATATTCTCCTATATAAAAAAACCAGGTCCCAGGTAAACACACTCGTCAACAACTTCGAGCTTAGTGCTCCCAACAACTACCGATATAGGTGTGACATGGATATTAAACATGATCTTTGTTTTGTCCATGTTCATCTTAAGAACTATCCGTTGGGAAGCACTAATGAGGTCATTGAGCATAGTGCTTAGGTCCTCCAGCGATTCTGCTATAAGGACTATATCGTCAGCAAATCGAAGGTGAGTGATGTACTCGCCATTGATGTTGATACCGTATCCTTTCCAGTCCAGAAGCTTGAAAACGTCTTCCAATGCAGCGGTGAAGAGTTTCGGGGATATGACGTGACCCTGTCTTACACCTCTCTGCAATTGGATAGGTTTCGTACTCTGGTTCTGTACTCGGAAAGCCATCGTAGCCCTACTATGCAAGCACTTCAGCACTTCGATATACCAACAGTCAACTTGGCATCGCTGAAGGGACTGCAGCACCGCCTAAATTTCGACGGAATCAAAGGCTTTCTCACAGTCCACATACGCCAGACATTGTGGCAAATTGTACTCCTCGGACTTCTGTACAATTTGACGAAGGGTATGTATGTAGTCTATGGTGCTAAAGGCCTTTCGGAAACCGGCTTGTTCGAGAGGCTGGAAGTCATCAAGTCTGCGCGCACGTAGACGCGGCTCAGATGGGAAATCAGTCTGTAGTTCTTCAAGAGAACGTTGTTACCTTTCTTGAAAAACAAGACCACCGCACTTCTGCTCCACGCCTCCGGTGTAATGCCACTATGGAGGACGGAATTAAAGAGCTTCTGAAGGACTTCAAGTACCAGTCTTCCACCCGCTTTCAGAAGCTCTGCTGTAATTCCATCCTCGCCTGGGGCCTTGCCATTTTTAAGGAGTTGGAGAGCCATTCTAATCTCACTCAGACTGATGTCCAGGATATTATCGGAATAGTGTCGGATAAGACTCGCTCTTGGATCGTTACTCTCACTTACGTGTAGCTCCAACGATTTTATGTACAGCTGCCCATAGAACCTCTCAATCTCACTCAAAATCTCAGGTGCCCCGGAAACGACGCTGCCACACTCGGTCTTCAGCTTCGACAGTTGGCTCTTTCTGGCAGACAGATCTCTAGCAAAGACTTTGGAGCCCTGGTTCCGCTCGATCGCTTCATTAATACGAGCAGTATTAAAGTTGCGTAAGTCCCGCCGCATGTATTTGGAGATCTGTCTGTTCATTTGCCTGTATGCTGTCAAATTTACTAAAGACTTCAGCTTCATGTTCCGTCTAACAGCCATGAGATCAAGAATGTGATCGGAGAGTTTTTGTGTTCTTCTGCGGCGGGTTTTGCAAACCTTAGCTCCGACCGCATGGACAGTTTCCACGAGCTTGTCATTCATATCGTCCACAGCATTGCAATCTTCTTGGCACTGAAAACGGTTTTGTAGCTTGAGCTGAAAGGTTTCGGGAATTTGGACTAGAGCACGAGGGGGACGGTGTGTTGACTTCATTAGACGAGACCTCTCCAACTTAACGTTTAGGTTCAGTATGCCTCTCACCATTCGATGATCGCTGCCGGTTTTCACCCTCGCGATCACTGAGACATCACTGAACAGTTGTCGTCTGGTCGTCATAATGAAGTCAATTTCATTTTTTGTCGAACCGTCGGGGCTCGACCAGGTCCACTTTCTGTGGGGCCGCTTCTGGAAGAAAGAGTTCATCATAAATAGTCCCTCTTTCTCCATGAAGTCGGCCAGCTGCTGGCCCTATTCCGAAATTCCCTACTTTCAGCTCACCGTTCTCTCTTGTGCCTAGTTTTGCGTTGAAGTCTCCCATTAATACCGTATAGTGGGATTTGGAGGAATACATGGCTCTAGAGATATCCTCATACATTTCCTCCACCTCCTCATCGGGGTGTGCCGACGTTGGTGTGTAAACCTGTATAACCTTCAGCGAGTACCGTTTGGTGATCCTGAGTATAAGGTACGCAACCCTCGTCGACACACTCCCAATTTTTACAACGTTGTTAACGAGAGACTTGTGGACGATAAATCCGACACCTCCTTGCGACAGATGTTCGCCCTTTCCGGTGATAGAACAAATTGCCGGATTTGAGGATTACCGTTTCCTCCCCCTCTCTTCAGACTTCGGATTATCCTATGACATTCCAGCGCAACTACATATCTCTTCTTCCAGCTCCAGGATCTTCTCGTCAGTCCTCAGGGTGCCTGCGTTATAAGTTGCCAGGTCGAGTCCTTGTAGGTGGCAACCGAAGCTCCACTGGAGATTCTAAGCACCCCTTGCCCCGCCGTTACCGTGGTCACCACCGTAGCCAAGAATAGCGGGGCTGCCGGGGGCCGTCTCTTCGTTACTTTCATGGGGGGTATATTGCCATAGTTGCCACGCTTGGCGAGCGGGTTGACAACCGCAGTTTTTTTATTGTTGTTTTACTGTTATCAGAAAGATGCTGCTGTCTATCTTCTCTCTCAGGTATCCCGCCACGATTAAAGCGATTCCATATTGAGTTTTGTATGCGTATAAATTCGTTGTAGGTAATTTTGTATTATTTATATTTTCTTTATTTAGGATGATCAGCATTCATTCACAGACTGACCAATCATATATTTAATTTATGTATTTTATATATTGTGCATTATCAACGTATTTGATACTTCTATTACGATTTTACCATGTAGTTTTTTTTTTTCTATTACAACAGGCCTATTGTAAACTTGAAATATACAAAAAGTTATAAAGGCATAACAAAAAAATATAAATTAGAACATAAATATACCTGGTGTCTTGGAGCCATAGGTCTCTTGTATCTATAGGAGGTAACTCTGTTTCTGTTGAAGCAGCTGAATGCTGCGGTGTTCCACCTCTTGGACCAAGAAATCTTCTCCATGTGCAACGTCGATCTAATAATTAATGAAATTGTGTTATTTTTAATTTGATACATTTTCTATCAAACATTTTTTTGCTTATAGCTGCGTTCAAATTTTATGTTTTGTATTATTAATATGAATAATGTCATTATTTCTTGAGAATTATTATATGCCTATTTTTATTGTTGAAGTAACTGGTCTGGTTTCCAGTTCAGTATAATCGAAGTATTCTAATCATATGGATATTTTTTAAATATTTATAGCTTAATATCTGACATGTAAGTTTGTTTTAATAATTTCAAAATAAAAAAATTACATATATACTAGGAATGATCCAAAAGTAATAATAATAAGTATGAGAACCAACGGTTATAGCTTAAAACTATACAATATTTTGTTCGTTTTATATATTGAATTCATCTTTGTCTATCTAACTACTAACTTTGTGAATAACCTTGAAAAAATTATTATATTTTTCTTCCCAAAACGCATACACAGCGATCATCAGTTCTCTGTCGTCTTGAGATTGCTTGTCTCAGGCTAAGGAGGCTTTCTTGGGTCGAAATCAACTTTATAGTATATCTGTTGCTATATGCTAGATCTGGAAGGGTGATTAAGTAGTTCGAAAATTGTTTTTTGAAGACTGCTTCTCGGATGTAAGCAATCACAGATTCAGATTTCTGTTTTATTTGATGTCATGATGTATCAGGACTTCTTAGGTTCAACAGTCTCGCAGTTTGCATCGTCTATTTTTAGTTGATTCGTATAATCTTTTTATTTGGTATACTTAGTAGGAGCCCGTAACAATGGCTCCCTTTTTAAAATATTTTACCAGCGTTTCAAATAACTGGCGCTCTAACCTTCCCTGCATAAATTAAAACTTGCAGGCCTTTTCCAATCCGTCCCAAAGTACAAGATAAATCATTTTTCTGGTCAACCTGATGATTCATCCGTAATAGATCAAGTATTATTTTGCTAATCTGTAAACATTTTCGGCGTGCAACCTTTTTAAAATGCTTTAAGGTTAAGAAAGATTCGTTGAATACTATATATTCGGTGATGTTATCGACAAGCGGCCTTCACGAATTCATCTCCGGTGAACGCTGTGCTAAGCTTAAATTCTTCGCATCAACATGTAACTGTGGAGTATGGAAGAACAGAGTCCCACAGTGTTTATATCAGTCCAGTATACTTTTAGTAGAGATTTTATCTGACACAGATATTTTATGAAAAATACCCGTATATAATTACATTTGGATCACCTTTTGTAGATAGAATATCATAAGTTATCTAAAGTTTATTTCATTTTATGAAAGTGTTACTAATGGTCCTATTTTAAGTAATACCGATTGGAGGCGCACCAAGCCACCCTGTTGCCCATCCTGGTCCAAGACCTTTTCTCTGTTGGGCTAGCAGCTGTACGGTTAACGCGTACGTAAGCAACATTACTCCTAGGGGTATGTAGAAAGATATGACCGATCCGATCGCCTTGTACAGCGGATCTGGTATCTGACAAGAGCCTCCTATGAGCACTGACTCCTCATTCTGTAAAGAATATAAATATGAAAAAATAAAGTAAATACATACAATACCTAAATTAAGGGCGTGAATGAAAGGGAATAAAAATTAATAAGAAATGAGTAAAATTAAAGTTTTTTTACTCTTTATTGCGTAAAGGTCGGGGAAAAAGTTTATTCGTATTTGGTTTGTATAAAATTGAAGAAAAATCTCTTTGGTTGTACTGCTTGTATCTGGTTGGTTTTAATATCAGTAGATATAGGACAGTAAGAAAAAGAAAAACAAATAGTCTAAAATACTTTGCCGCCATTTTTCAATTGTTTTATGTCTGCCAAAATTAGTGAAACTAACGATGAAATTCGATACTTTCAGAAGTTTTATTTTTAAAAAAAACCGGCCAAGTGCGAGTCGGACTCGCGCACCGAGGGTTCCGAAAAAATACATAGGTATATAAGTTTAAAATGATTAAGAATATTTTTATTATATGATATAACTAAAAATTTATGCTTTTCACAATGTTTCCTTTATCTGTGCTATAATACGTTGCTTCATACCAAATTTTAAGATTCTGAGTTCACGGGAAGTACCCTGTAGGTTTTGATTCCCTTGCGAATGTCGAAAATTTGCGGCATAAACGGCTGTATCTCTTGATTGCGTTGGCTTAAAAGTTTTATTTTTTCGTAGCTCCAAGGGACAGTAGACTTGAGTATTTGATATGAATTTCAGCTTGATACCTTCACGCGTTCCTAAGAAAAGGGGTCTTGACAGACAGACGGACAACAATGTGATCCTATAAGGGTTCCGTTTTTTCCTTTTCAAGTACGGAAACCTGAGAAAGGGAAAAAGCGGCTCAAATTACAAAGAGACGTTTATGGATCCAATGTAGTGTCAGTAAGAGTAGCACAAAGTTGGTTCAAGCGTTTTCAGTTCTGAAACTTTGATGTCAAAGATGCAGCTCGCTCTGGTCGACCTCATACGGATAAAGTCGATACCATTTTTGAAAAAGTGGATGAAGATCGGCATATTATTAGTTGCGACATAGCCGAATTAAGGATAAACCACAAAAAATAGTTTTGACCCATTTGAAAAAGTCTGGCTATACAAAAAAGATCGATATATGGGTACCACACGAGCTCACTGAAAAAACCTAATGAGTCGTTTTGTTGTGATGTCGTGTCGATTCTCTATTGAAACGTAATGAAACTGAACCATTTTTGAAAAGAATGATCACTGGTGATGAAAAGTGGATCACTTACGACAAGAACGTGCGAAAAAGATCATGGTCAAAGCGTAGTCAAGTTCCACAGACTATAGCGAAACCCGGATAAACACGCAATAGGGTGATGCTGTGCGTATGGTAGGATTAGAAAGGCATCGTTTATTATGAGCTTTTATCTCCGGGCAAAACCATCGACTTGGATCTCTACTGCCAATAACTAATGAGACTCAAGCAAGAAATTGAGATAAAACGTACGGAATTGATCATCATCTTTCATCATGATAACGTCAGACAACACACATCTTTGTCCACTTAGAATAAATTAAGAGAACTTGTTTGGGAAGTGTTAATGCATCTACCATATAGTCCTGACCTTGCAACCCTATATTTTCAGCTGTTTCAGTCTCTTCAGAATTCTTTGGGTAGTGTGAGGTTAACATAAAGAGAGGACTGTCAAAACTACTTATCACATTTTTTGATCAAAAATCCCAAGTTTCTACAGCAAAGGGATTACCTGCTGGCAACCTACCTACAAGATGGCAAAAAGTTATCGAACAAAATAGCATATATATATATATATATTATAATTAAATATAATTAAACTTTAAAAAAATGTCTTCAATCTGTACATAGAATACGAAGAAACTTTTTCTCCGACCTTATAAATTGATTTCAATTATAGGTTTGAAAATTTTAAACTCTTGCCATCTTATTATATAAAATAGCTTATAATTACTCTTAGGTTAAGGCTAAAGTCTGTTTCAACAAAGATGTACCATGTAAAATTTATGAACGAAAATTAGGCAAATTTCACAACGACTGGTGCGCCGCGGCTAAGGCATTTCTTTCGTAACAAAGGAACTACTTTAAATCCGAGACGATCAATAAACCACGTTTTGTTAAAAGAGTAGTTTTAGATTTAAAAATAGGCGACATTTCTTTCGGGATGGTTTTAGATCGATGATTCCGTATTTTTTTTATTTCTATGCTATTCTGAAAAATTTGTAAATATGTGTATTACCTACATTCTTTTAACAATTATATTCGTGGAAAAAACAAATTTTACGGAGTTTATCGCGTTTAATTAAAACTTTTTTGATTCCCGACGTTTTGGGCACTTGAAATCCGTAAATCTGTAAATTAGCTGTATTCCACATGTAGTGTTCGCATAAATATAAATTAATTACATTCATTAAATAAAGGAAGTCGAATATTTGAAAGTCTTTCGAAATTCAGATTAAAACACATTCAAGTAGGTACTTATAATACTTTATCCTAATTTGAAACTGTGTTATACCTTGGAATACATAAGACTCAAAGGAAGACTCATAGCTGTCGACAGTATCCATACAAATACTATCTTGACTGTTACTCTCTTTCTTGTTTTGTTTCTTCCAAATCGCATCGGATATCGAAGGGATAGATATCTAAAAACAATAATTGTCAATTAAAGCTTTAACAACATACTATATCGGAAAATGATCACTCCTTCCAAAACAGGACTTCTGAAAAACAAGCACGTATGTTGCATCGGCTCACTATATTCATAAAACATAATTTTCAATATATTTTGCTCGGTGGTAAATGAGGCCTTCCATCTAACAACCAAACTTTTACCAATTTATGTCGCCAAGTAGCTGTCTAGCAAATGCTGTGGCCCAATTAGTTCATCCTAGACCTTGAAGGTGAAAAGGTATCCATAGCTTTTTTTTGAAGTTTGTTAAATTTTATTCATAGGCTGCAGTTACCACCTAATCATCATTGCATCCCAACACAATTCATATTAAAATCACGTTTTCTTTTCTCTATCACGTCACTTCATCTAGTAGAGGTAACGGAATTTGTAATTGAAGCATTGGGAGCAACAAGGGCGTTCGGTACCCAAAGCCCGTTTTGATGTTATTGGTTATTGGTTTTATTAACAGTGGTAGAGCCACGCGGCAGCTTTTGCTGTCGTACGGATGGGCCGGCTCGAAAGGGGTGGTACCACGACCTCACAGAATACCAGCGTGAAGTAGAGGTTTACCTCTGCGTTTCGCTTGGTGAGTGCAGGTGACCGGAGGTCCTTTTTACTGGAAATGAGACATTCCATCTTAGTCCTCACGGGTGACAACGCATCTGCATCTTGATTCGCAAACGAGGATAGATGTAGATGTCTATGGGCCGCAGCAACCACTTACCATCAGGTGGACTGTGCGCTCGCTTGTCACCCTTATCCTATAAAAAAATATTGCATTAAAATATGTAATGCGTCATCTAGTATTTGGTGGCAAAAACTCATTTCGATCTAGCGCTTCTAGGCGGCGTGGGAATCATTTATTTTGAAGGAGGCGCTCCGCCCTTGTTGCATAGATTACAAATGTGTGTTTAAATTTCAAACACTTTACGACCTGCAGTTTTTAAAAACTTATTTAAAGTTAAAAAATGTCTGAAATTAGCAATATTAGTAAGTAAGATGCAAATTACGACTAAAGTAAATATGTTCCCCCGAAAAAGAAAGGATAAAAGAAGTGCGAAAGGTGAATAGAAATTTGGGTGAAGAGTACACATGGGCTCGGGGTAAAAAGATACCTAAAAAGGTTTTTAAATATATCACCAAGTGTTGTTTCAAAAAGCATTTTGATATCCTCGATTATCGATAATAAGCTAAGCTTAGCGGTCAGCCATCGCAGAGTCTACGTCACCTGAAAATGCCTCGTGTAGAGGCGAAACACTCGTCGTATTGTCGTAAGTGGTGTGTCTTTCCTAGTGTAGTGATGTTAGGAGTAGTGGTGCTGGGATTAGTGGTGACGGGGATAGTGCACGCAATTGAGGGAGGGCGGGGGTGCTCTTCAAACTAGGTATATTTTACCAATTTTAATATAATGGATTTCCGCAAAGTAACACCTGATTCTATTGACTATATTATTGTTATTTACTTTCAAATAAAACTAATTCATATAAGAATCTAAAATAGTTGTTATTTATAGTCTTAAAAATATGTAATAATATAAACGCCCCATTTATTTACGGGTTGGGGGCAACAAGGGCGGATAGCACATGTAATTTTTTTTCAATTGCTTCTAAGTATTTTAAAATTATAATAATATCTGAATCATTAAATTAAATCATAACACAAATGAATAATCAAGTATATTGGAGTCATAATATAAACATTAAAAAGTTTAAAACATTAAAACCTTTATTTACAATTTTGCCCTTGTTGCACTTAATGCTTCAATTATAAATTTATAATGATATATTATAAAATAAAATTATGATAAGATACCACATATCATAGGTAAATCATCGGTACAGAAGTAGCATTATATATCTGCTGTAATTAGTTATATACAGCAACTATACAATTAAAGGTTAACATATGCGATAATGATATACAAAATTTAATATAAATACAATAATGCTTTCTAAATCAATACACGAACGAACGAAGGAACGAACTTTTAATCAAGATAAAGGTATATATGTATGCACTAGATAACAAAGAATAATATACTCGTAGTTATAGGTGCGTGTGAGCCATAAGTACTCTTACCCTATAACCCGAAATAAAATAAAAATCCAAATCCACAGCACAGTAAAGTAGTCGCGAAGGTGGTATTCTGCAATATTGAGTATTTGATACGGTATCTTAGCAATAATTTAAGTTAAATAAGCGACTTGCGACTACAAGAAACACATACAAAATAAAGAACATACAGTCGAATATAACATTAAAAATTTCGAATATAATATAACCTATTCTTTTTTTAAAGTCTGCTAGCTATAATTCATTTTATTTTACTCACCTGTCAACGCTGATGGTACATAAATGCATTATAGACGCGGTGCAAAGAAGTACATCAAGACACACCCAGGTTAAGCAATACACAGCTGGGAACGGAAAGTAACCTAAAAACAAAAATGTGTTAGTACACAACTAATATTATTTTTTGATTTAATTTCGATAGACCACAAATATAATTACTACAGAATTTTTAACACCACCCAGCCTAATGACCCGAAGTACATACAATAACTCGGGCGATAATAGTTAACAAAGGGTCTACTTAGATTTACCGCTTTTACTCGCGACTTCTTACGCGTAGAATTGAAACAAAAACCCGTAGAACTTTAGTAGTGGCCTTGGGCAGAGTTCCAACTATCGAACAACCACTTTAAACTCCGCTCTTATATTTATTTAACGTTTCCCCACACTAGGATGTTTTCCTACATTTATATAGAAATCTATGTATGATATGGGAAATGTTTAAAAAGAACATTGAACGTAGGTAGGGAGATGAAACACCGCCAACTTCATGGCTGTTTTGTTCGAATGCGTGGTGTGTCTACAATTTTCCGAAGTTGTCTCCGGTGTATTCAAGAGTTGCGTCTTGGAAAGATTAGGCCAAAATGAACGAACTTCTTATAAAAAGTTTTTTTTTTTATATATACACTTAAGAATTAATAACTGTAGAGTATCGTAGAATAGGTCTTTTAAAAATATTTCATATATGTATCACGAAAACTTTTTTACAAAACTTAAAAGTGTTAGATGTCGTGTCTGAACAGTGTTTTCTCCCATTGACCCTTCATTGAGTTTACAAACTTTTTAAGTGTAAAAGTGTAAAATAAAATGTTTTTATACTTAATAGAACCACCAATAGAATTATATTTATTTTATTTTTATTACACAGGGCGACAACCATAGATTACCAATATCCTGTCAGTTAAGTTTTCCCGTCAAGAAATTCTCAGTAGCAACACGAAGTTGGCGGTGTTTCATCCCCGCGCCTTGGAAAGCACGAAATTTTGTTAGCCCTGCGCCTCATCTCTCTCCAGTCATGTCGATTGCCGTCCCATCTGACTATGAGAGCGAGAAATTTGAGAGTTATCACACCACCAATCAAACAAAAATAGCCATAGTGTGACGTGATCAATTGTACAGGCAATTTCATTACCTTGTTAGTTGACGGCACAAACTAATAAATAATAATGTTCTCCAGACTGAATTTCAGTCACAGCAGCCAGTTTCAACGGACCGCCCACGCACATACTCGTGTATTATAATTCTGTACTGTACAGATGGCTCCGATACTCTTATGATACTCCATTGAAACTGTTCGCCTTGATTGATGGCTTATACTTAGAAGATGGTAGAGAACAGAAAATATAATAAACAATTATACAAATACACACATATTATCGAAACAGAGAAACCATCTTAGAATTTAAAAAGTTAAATTTTATTTACTCGTATTAGTAGGCTTTAAAAATTGGAATTCTTTAATATAAGTTTGGGTCTTAATTAATAATATTTATGCGAAAATAAAATGGCTGTAAATTAAAATGGAAAGAAGTATTCGGCGAAATTATAAAGGTTCTTAGTTGGGCTATGAAAATAATTAAAAAAAATATTTAAATTGTTATACTTTGGGTAAAAATAATGAATTTATCTAAATATAATAATGGTTTAAACTATGAATAGGTTTACAAGAAAAAAAAATTGGCAATCAGATACAATAGAATATGTTTCTCAATGAAGATCACAAAAATACTTATTAAAAAGTCAGTTTTGCTTTTACCACTGGTTCAATAAAACTTTGGTCCCGGGTAAAACTAGCAGGAAACCTAGTGGGACTTTCGTTTCGTTTTCTTTTTAGGAAATACAATGTGACCTTTACAATTGACGTTTTATAAACGCAATTTAAAATTAAATGTTTTCTAAGAAATCATGCCAGAAATCGGGCAAAATGAAATCGGACACTAATGAAAACATGCCTATTTTCACGCCCATGTTTTGATAACGCACCCACTCCCACTTTTAAGAGGCACTAAAATCCTTACATTAGCAATTAACTTGCTCCACCTGTATGATAATATATTGATTTTTTTAAAATGTAATTTAGAAATATTATTTTATAAATATTATATTATTGAATATTGAAATTAAAATGAATTAAAAGTACCTATTAGCTATATGTCATGTCAGACATTAAACTTGTGATATCCGTTCTGGAATTCCATATAATAGATTATTTAATATTGCAAATATTGTATAATGAATTACATTATTAAGAGGTATATTTATAATATTAATCTATTGTAAAAGAGAAAAATTTGAAGAATTTTTAAATAGATATATTTTCACGTGCCATAACCGGTAACCATATTGTAAACTTATTTACATATATATTGTGGTTCGTTCTGAAGGATAAAGAAAGCTAGTACAAGTACAGGCTGAGAGGAATTCTATCTTGGTCCTCATGAGACACAACGCATCCTTCTTTGTTTGAAGTTTGTCGCAAATGTCCATGAGCTGCAGTTACCACTTACAGGTGGGCTATAAGTTCGTTGTCACTTCATTTTTATTTAAAAATAACTAGTGATCCGCCCCAGCTTCGCACAGGTGATTTCTGAATCTCCATGACAGCGCCACCTACCGGGGTCAATTATGAATAAAAACCATCCAGGGACCCATCCAAATACACACAAATTTTTTTATCAAAATCGGTCCAGGCGTTTTTGAGTTTTAGCGAGACTAACGGACTGCAATTGATTTTTATATATAACGATGTGTCTCTTATGATCTAGCATAAGGGCACGTTCCGACGACACGCACCCGCAACGCGCACGCCACGCGCGTCAGCACCCGCGTCAAACTCGCTTTGAAATTTGTTGCATATAATTTGAGTGTTATGAGAAATCAATAAATCTGAAATTGCATTTATCGACGTTCAACCGCACACGCCTCGCCCAAACCACGCGCCCGCCACGCGCCTGCCATGCGCCCGCCACGCGCCCGCCTCGTTCCCGCTCCGCGCTAATCCCGCGCTCACCCCGCACACGCACTTTTTATACAATTTCAGATTTATTGATTTGTCATAAGACTCAAATTATATGCAACAAATTTCAAAGCGAGTTCGACGGGGCTGCTGACGCGCGTGGCGTGCACGTAGCGGGTGCGTGTCGTGGGAACGCGCTCTGATACTACGATATTGCGAATAAATGATAAACAAATAACAAATGCCACGTAGTCGAGGAGTAAGAGAATCCACTCCCATCATGCCGTGAATTTCATAAAAGGTGACAGAGGGAACTGTAACAGGAGTTGGACAGGTGTATCTTCCTGTAAATATCACAAATTTAAAAAAAATGCGAAAGCCAAGCGTATGATAATATATCACTGTGGACAGTTGGTATCATTGCCTTACATAAACAAGAAACAGAAAAATAAGAAAAGTGTGTTTGTTACAATAAATGAACATCGCTTGGAGAGGTTTAGAAGTAATATAATAAAAAGATTTCCATCACTTTCTGTAAAAACAGTGCTAATTATTTGTATGGTACGTTATTTAAAATTATAACTTGTGAATTTAGTAGGATATTTACTTCTAAAACTTTCTCTTTTAACAGTCGCAAATCATTTAATGAATGGGCGACGGTAGGAATTTATAAGAGTAGGCGAAATTTATACGAGCTTTATAAGGAAAGATCATATAATAGTAGTGTTATTTTTAGAGATTATGTAAAAACATATTCTAAAATATTTAAAAAAGTGTGCTCCACAGCTAAGGCTTTACATTTAAGTAACAAAATTAAAACTGTATCTAACAAAATTAAAATGACCTGGAGAATAATAAATAGTGAAAAGGGCAAGGCCAAACCGCGCAACTCGGATTTTCAATTGAATATTAACAATAACTCGATCTGATCAAGAAGTTGCTATGGCTTTTGAGAAACATTTTACTGATGTTCCTTTTTTGACAACTAAATCATTAAACTCTTCTCCTACTATCGCCGAATTATTGCTCAAACTCAAACAAAAAAATGTAAAGGCTTGTTCAAATACTTTTAAATTCCATAGAGTACTGCCAAAAGATATTAAATATTTTAAAACTATTGATGTTAAGAAAACGGCAGATTTATGGAGGATTTCCGTTAAAGTTATTTTATCTATAATAGATATAATAGCACTATCTAGCCACTATATTTAATACAAGCGTCGAATCTGGTGTGTTTCCTGATTTAATGAAATAAAGTAAAATCATACCTTTATTTAAATCTGGTAGTACATTAGACCCTGCCAATTTTAGACCAATTTCTGTACTACCATCATTTAGTAAAATTTTTGAAAAAATAATTTTAGATCAGATGTTAATTTATTGTTAATATTATTTTAATATTAATAAATTGTTACATAGAAATCAATTCGGTTTTACAAGGGGTCGCTCGACAACTGACGCTGGAGTTGAGCTTATTAAACATATTTTTTGTGCAAGGGAGAATTCAAAAGATGCTTTGGGTATATTTTGTGACTTTTCCAAGGCCTACGACTGCGTTCCCCATGAGACATTAATCAGGAAGCTACAGTACTATGGTGTCAAAAACACAGCGCAACTTATTATTTCATATAGGTGTCCCTCTGGGATCGTTTCTCGACCCATTCCTGTTTCTGGTGTATATTAATGACTTACCTCACCTTGTAGGGGATAGTCATGATATAGTATTATTTGCTGATGATACTTCCTTGATTTTGAAACTTAAAGGTCAATCATTTATATGTGACGAAGTGAATAATGCTATTTCAAAATTAGTGCATTGGTTTAACGTTAATAATCTACATTTAAACGGAAATAAAACTAAATATATTAAATTTACAACATCGAATGTTAAAAATCTGAGTACCAATGTATTTTTAAATGGAAAAGAACTGAGCCCTGTTGAATCCACTGTTTTTCTTGGCATCACTCTCGACGCAAAGCTTCAGTGGGCCCCCATATATCCAAACTAGCAAGCAGACTAAGTTCTGCAGCCTAAGCTGTAAAAAAGATTAGAGGTCTCACTAGTGTCGAGACAGCTAGATTAGTTTATTTCAGTTATTTCCATAGCATAATGTCTTATGGGATTTT